GGAACGTTGATTCCCGTATTTATCATGCAGGTCTACCTCACAGCAATACTATCCGGCATCATTCACTGGAGTTTTCCTGTTCACATCAAAAGTTAAGTTTATCAGAGCCTGTGACTCTTTGCAGCTGATGACATTCACCAAGGCGATGTGTATATATCTGCATTTAACAAGTCCTTCAGTGGAGGTGCTCCTCACTGTCACACTGTGGATCAAACGATGTCAATGATTCTGGGAGAGCTACTCGGTGTCTCTCCTCTAATAGCTGTCACCTGCCTGCATGAGCTGGGGAAAAGTGAGATCTTTGATGTATGTTACAGATATAAAATAATAATGTGCGCTAATACCTACATATGGTTTCTACTGGAAAGTTTAAAAAGTCATTTGTTACTTTGATACTAAAGTATACTCCTCTTTGATACAAGAAGCTTGTTATCTAGTGGTTTCAACTTTGGGGCTGGAACCGCACGGCTCTCTACATTGCTCAGCACAAAACTCACTTACAAATGTTATTGAGTATTTTGTTAAAGCACAACACAGTAAGGCTTTGATCAGGTAAGATGCTTAAGCAGTAAGTTTAAGCACACAAGTAATCCCAGTGAAGTCCCAAGGATCCATTCACGTGCTTAAACCCGTGCTCGCTTTGGTAGATCAAAATTTAAAATAATCAGGCTACAGTTTGTAACCCAAACCCTTCTGTACAGAGGAACAAGGCAGCTCAAAATTAGAAAAAAAAAAAAAAAGTAACAATATAACAGAAGGCTGGAAAAAATATTCATGCTAGCAGTTAACTGGGAAACAGAGTCTTAAAAGAAAAAAAAAAAAAAGAAAAAGACAGCAGAGAAAAATGAAACTGATGCAAACTCCAGTTTTATGCTGCCACTCCTGATAAAGACGCTGTGTGCCACTCCGAGGAAGGAGAAATAAGAACAGGGAGTGGTGATGCTTCCTTCCCACATCCTTTGCAAAAAGATGATAAAAAAAGTCCGACACATCTTGCGTATCAGCATCTGGCTAACAGATTTAGACATCTGTCTACATTGCTGGCAAATTTCTCAAGTCTTTTCAAGTCTCAATAATTAGAGAAGAGACTCATGCATTTCCTATGCTGAAGGGACTGCAGCCCTTCGGTACGTATTGGTCAATAAAACATGGTAAGGAATGATGAAATGTCCATGTACAAAGTTTACAAAAATCTCCCCTTCAAAGTAAATATCCCAGGAGCTAGAATTTATCTTTCATGAGAAAGATGAATGCAACAGGTGTAAAACAAATAGGCATCTGATATAAAAAACAAATCAAAGCAAATCAGCTGCATTTAAATTTGGGTATTGCTGATATCTGCGTATAAAGGACCAGATTCATAGTCTTGCCACACCACTCAACAAAGAGGAAAATAGTCCCCCTAGTGTACTCTTCATGTAGAAGAGACTGTTTCACAAGAGAGTGCTGCAAGAAATTACAAAATAACATTATAGGAAGAGATATGGAAGTACTTGAGCTATAGTGAAATCAGGCACCTCTACTATATACACGGACACAAAGGTGTTTCAGTTTTCTATTTCAAGACTATTGAGTGAAGTGAGTTATTGCATCCTAAATATTTAGGGGGAAAAACTTGGTTTTTTAAGTCAGCACACTAGTTTTGTGACTGCAGGACATCGCCGGAGTAACAGATACCTGAATTTGGGAAGACGGGTAGTTGTGGTCACCAAGGAGCTGTGTGGAAGTACCTGCACCAGCCGCCTGGCACAGTGCATTTCACAGGAGTGAAACCAGCTTACCCGCAGACCTTTTCCCCGCCTCCAGTGATGAGAAATAAAAATACCGACCCTCCATAAGTATTCGGGACAGTAAGCGGATATTGAAGTATGTAGCTAAACCCTTCCCGGTGATTTGGAAGCGTACAGGATTGTATCAAACCAGGCTGCCCGTAGCACACGACAGCGTCCGCAGCGTGCCAGCTCTACAGCGATGCACTGTACACTACTGCCCTAGTTAGCTGTCAGGCAGTATTAGGTTAGCTAACATCCCACCGGGGCCACAGGGAGGGGGAAGCAAAGAAGATTGGGGGGGGGGGGGTATTGGGCAAACCTTATCTGAATTAGCGGAAACGTAATATATGCCTTCCTAACCACATCTGAAATACTCACTTCTGCTTTAATGCCCCAGGCAAAAAAAAAAAAAAAAAAAAAAAAAGTGATAGTTGTAACTTTAATTTATAGCTCTTAAAATAATTGTTTTGAGGAGTATAATCCCAGCTATGTTTACGGATTATGGCATTCAGCACATCTCACTGGAAACAGTATTAATATTTCATATATAATAATACATAAGATAATAAAACCAAGTTCTCTTCTTGCCTTTGTTTAAAATGACAATTTTCCCACTCAGTGCCAGAGCAGAATATTGTTAAATGGGATTGCTGCCTTCAAAGACGAATTTAGCTGTGTAAAAATATTCTAAATTAAGATAAAAGCCTTCTGATACAGAACTATCTTCTGTTCATTTAAAATCTCAGTGTAACTAGCAATCTGAAAAAGTCTGATGTGAAAAGCTGACATTAGTTCCTGAAGAGTTGTATTCATTACCTTTGAGAGAAACAAAGATGATAATAACATATAATGTGTTTTAGCATCGGGAGACTAAGATGGAGTCTCTATTTAAGAGTGTTGCCTCTGCACAAACTAATTGACGTTCCAGCCAAGAAACTGAAATAGTCCTCTTCTGAAATAGTCCTCTTCTGAATGTATAAGCATACATTAAAAGAAACTCTAGCCTTGCTAAGGAATTAAATTTTACAGTTTTGGATGCCTGGCAAATTATTAGCTCCTGACCTCTCCTTTGCCCCTTTCCGTATGCCCCTACCACCCACACACAACTGCACCTGCCGTTAACCCGATCGAATGCCTCACCCTAACTTCCAGAGACAGCTCACTGTCACAGAAGAGGCAGAAATTTCTGCTACCAGTGTGCTTGCATCTCCTGAGAAAGGTCATCTTAAAGGCTTGTGAGAAACTTCTGAACTAAATTATATCAGAGGAGTCTCAAGGGATCCAAGTTTTTAACATTTTAATTAGCTCCAAGTACCAGTTAATGCTGCTCAGCAAAGGGATCAATATCAAATTAACAGTATAAATTGTCAGAAAAATTGTGACTGTATTAAGCATACTAATCAATGTAAGCACTTCGCGTTGTGGCCCAGATCCTGCTTCAGCTGAAGTGAACAGGAGTTTTGCCACCAAATTCAGCCGAAAGAGTATCAGCCCCACTGTTCGGTAAGGCTTCGTTTGAATCGGGTATCGAGAATTTACTGAAAATTCAAAGTATCAGATAAAAAGGCTGGATTCGTCATAGCAGCTGACATCACTGCTTCTGCGTGAAACCAAACAACTTAGGAAGGCACGGGCTGTCATCAGAAGACGTAACCCTTTATCACACTCCGTGTCGCACTTGTAAAGTCAGATCAAAATTCAACACCTAATACAGATGCAAAAGCTGTAAAAAGGATCTGTGTTTTTAAAGCCTTGTCTTGAATTAGCTACGCCACCGATAAACTTTGTGGTTTTATTTTCCCCAGCCTGAGACAAGTCTGTCAGTGAAATGCTTCCTCTACAGTGCTCCATTTGGAAGGTAAAAATCATACAGCTGTACTTCAATTCCTAGCAGCAAGCCCTACTCAGGCACTAAAATATGAGACAGGGATGCTAATACAAAAACTGCCGGAAATGTTTCATCCATACGGTATTTCTGACTGATTTGTACACTCTAAGTTATCCCCTGATCCAAAGCTAGAGAGATTCAAAGAGGAAATTTAATTTCTCTGTAACACAGTAAAACTTCCCGGCAAATTCGCCTTCAGCCATCCATTCAAAAACTCGGTCTCGGATGCTGCCAGCATTGGCCCTCGGCAGCAACTGAACCGTACCGGGATTTCCCTCTGCAAACAGTATCGACATCAGGCAGCACCTGCATTTCTGTATAGCTGCAAGTACGTGATGTTTCCGCGTCCGACAGACACTAATAGATGGACATGGAAAATAAGGAGAAAAAAGCAGTTCTGGAAGTCACTTCAAATGTGCTTTACGTGCAGCACCGGCTGCTGGTAGGCCTTATTAGACCCTGTCTTTGAGAGCAAAACCCTGCCTGCCTGCAACATGCTTTTGCACGCGCTAAGTAAACAAGCCACAAAACCAGATTTATTTTTTTTCCCTCACTTATTAAAACAGTGGTAATCTTAGCTGCTAACTTGTCGCAATGCTGGACAAAAAACGCTTGGATATATGGGATTTGTCAGTAGACGGTGCCCGCATACACTGGCACCCCAGGAAATGCAAACCAAGCGTTCCCGTGGCTGAGCGGCCAATAACTCCATGCTTTGATTAACTTTATGAGGAAATGTCAAGACCCGAATTTCCCTCTATGGCCTTTGAGGAACGTGTGGGAAACCACTGGGGTATTTGTTGACGAAAATAATAGAGTTGTTCTGTACGGGAGCTTTGAGGCTCAGACTGACCCTGCACAAAAGCAACTCTGCTTACACCACAGGTACCTATAACTTAAACACCACCGCTAAACAAAACCTCAGCTTTAAAAATATTTTTCCCCTCGTTTTCCTTCCCTGGTTACGCGCTCGTGCACCAGAGAAGCCAGCTCCGCTCCAGCATCCCCCCTGCTCCCCGAGTTAGCAGCCCTCACCGCTTGCACGCAGCAACAGGAAAGAGACGAAACTTTTCTTACCCCCTCCCTTAAAAAAAAAAAAAAACAACAACAAAAAACTAAAAGAAAAATAAGCAAAGGCGACAGCACGACCAGCAGCACGGCCAGCAGCAGCGCCCGGCCGGCTGCCGTCGGGGAAAGCCGCCGGCACACGCACACCCCACCACCATCACCACCACCACCACCACCCCCCGCCCCGCTCCGCGGCCGCATCCCCCGCGGGCAGCCCGCCCGTCGGGGCGGGCGCGGTGGGTCCGCCGCCTCCCCGGGACCCCCCGCCTCACCTTCCAGCCGGCCGAGCTGTTGCTGTCGCCCTTGTCCTTGAAGTAGGGCACGCAGCGGACCATCCAGTCGTAGATCTGGGAGAGGGTGAGGCGCTTCTCCGGGGAGCTCTCGATGGCGCGGGTGATCAGGTCGGCGTAGGAGAGGTTGCCCCACGCGTTGCGCCGCGACGAGCACTTCCTCGGCGCCGCCGCCGGGCCCCCGCTCAGCCCCCCGCCGCC